ATTTTAAGCGAACCAGAAATTTAACACGGACCAGAAGAAATATGCCTAAAAGGCAGCTATCCAAGCTTCCGATGAATCCTGTCAATTATAGTAACGTATTGGTCCCTAGTTAACTCATCACATGAAAAGTACAAAAAAATTACGATATGAGCGATGGGTAAGCGATTATTGAGCTGCCATCACCCCACGAGCGCACGTTTCTGGCAGGCCATATGGGGATGCTACCGAGCGTGAATGCTGACTATTAAAGCAACAGTTCAGGAACGGTTTCGCGGGAAAAAACCACCAATAATGAAGTTGTAGATGAAAACCAGACGATTAATGTATGAAAAACTGGAAAAAAACGTCGGGGAGGGTCTTAGACAGGTACTCTCCCTCTGCCGCTCAGCAATGGATAAAGACGCACGTTGGACGAGTTGTCTGAACGTGCCCGCTGTAAACGCGCTCCATTTTTCAATCAATTTTCCCTGTGGTCCCAAAACGAGCACGATTGCCGACGCGTCCAATGACGGCCGGCAAGGGGGCGGGATTGGGGAAATCCCCAAGAACACCCATGTTTGAGGGACTTTCCACCCTGTTTTTGAGTTTCTGAGGTAAGTTCGTTTATTATTTCCACTGCATATGTAGGCTATAGTGCTCGTCGTATCCACACTACGAGGGGGCGGAGGATAGGCGTTTATCGTCTCCAGGTGAGGTAGGTGGGTACTGTTGCGGATATTTTCCGGAGCCCGTGCTCCCTGGAACGGTGTTGCGCTGCCTCTTTAAATAGCTATGAGCTTGAAAATCGTAGTTTTGGGAGCTGGTCCATCGGTAATAAAATAGAAAAAAGACTGCTTATGACTGTTAAAAATCACATTCGGATTCTTGTCCCTGCAGAGGTGCGGTCTGCGTGCGCCATGGCTGCGAAAAATTCATTGGTTGAGTTTGCTCCTAGTATTGAAGTAAAATAACAGAACAGTGTGGATAATGATATTTGCAAACAACCAATTGACATTCGCAAGGGGTGCGGACGTCGAGCAAGGCAACCCGTCAATGTTATCAAGAACGCGGAAGGTCGTAGTTTTCACAAAGTTATTAGCATGTGTTTTATGCATTCTTTTATTACTGATGTGATCACCACAACTACTTTTTTCGAGGACAAAGCACTAATTACACTTGAGCTTGACGATGTCGATAGAATATCAGAACAATGTATATTTTCAATATGTGATGGGATGAGGCCGTTTTCTGCAGCGGAAAATACAATTTTTTCATGTCATCCTTGTGCGGCTAATAAGTCGTTTACGACGCTCTAGCGCAGGATCGCTACTTTTTGGGTGTTCGACTACTGCCGTTCTATGAACGGGGCCAATACAGGGTGCCGACAGATTTTCAAAAACCCTACGAAGAGCAGTCCTGCCAGGTTTTAAAGCACATGGGCTTGGCAAGTGAGAGCAACTTTGATGAATATAATCGTAATAACTTCGTATAGCATACATTATACGAAGTTAGGAGGGGTGAGCATGTTTTGAAAAAATGACCTAGAGCTGCCTAGTTTGCTAGATGGAGGACGAGGGAAAAAAAGAGCGAGAATCGTAGCTGCAGGATAGCGCAGTAATTGAGGTGGCGAGGTAAGGGCACGTGGTGCACGTATCGCAGTGGACTGAATTTAGGAGAAATGAGAAAACCTCAAGTGCTCGGAAGACTAGGGGAAGAGTCTAGCTGAATGGTGGTAGAGTACTGAACAGGTTAACTTGTATCAGGCCTCGTGTTTTTTTGCCCGAATCCCACACGAGGATCAAGTATTCAAGATTTTCAGAGAGAGTGTACTTCTCTTTTTTTGTTGATTGCTGATGATAGGGGGGGGGTAAGCGTGGTGTGTGTGGGGGGTGGGTAGCTGTGGCAGCAAAAGCAAAAAGTGTTATCCTTTTATTACCACCTTTTTTGATCGAAACTCGCTGGTATATCCTGGAAAACACCCACGCCATGAACATTCTGCAAGTATTTTGCGGAATTCATCTTTTTATTTACACAACAAAACCTCACAGATATAAGATGAGGCGTCAGCGCTCACAAAATCGCGCCCTTCCCACGCGACCGAAAAGGGGCGCGAATGTGTAATCAAGGAATATGCAAGGAGAAAAGGGTTCATCGTTATTACTTTGATTTCTTATCAAAGTCGAGGTTGTGTCTGATAGAGCTGACTAGTACTAGGAAATAGTGGGGCCTATGAAATGGCTGGAGATCTCGCCAGCGAAGCATTATAAAAATTTTTGAGGTTTTAGCTATGTGCTACTGATTCTGATATCACAACGCTTCTTGTTCCGTCATCTGAGCAAACTACATATGTCACCTCTAGGGTGTCAGAAGTTTTCGTTCTGGTAAGTTTATCTAACTCACCTTGGTTGGCCGACAGTAAAGCTCTGCAGAATAGACAACGATCCGCACGATAGTCAACATAGACCGCGCCTTCAATTTTGTCATTCGCAGGTTTCACGTAGAATTCCTCACTGCACTTCATACATGGACTGTTCGGATCTGAAAAATCGGTATCTACATAGAATGTAGGAATAGTACGGTTAAGAATAGTTTAATATAATAGCTTCGCAGTTTGCAGTAAGCAGGAACTGATCGTGCTAGTACGGGCAAATGACTTTGCGAATCGCGCGATTCGCAAAGTCTGGCATCGGCCTATAGTAGATACCTTATCCTATGAAAGAGGTAGTAGGATAGAATCTTGAAGAAGAATCACACACCTGCACCCCCGTGCATGGAAATGGTTCGCCAACGGCGCTAGAGTCTTGTAAAGACAGCTTCAACAGCTTCAGTCCCCCGCATCATGATGTTGTCGGCCACCATCTCATTTGTAGCGCTCTTTCATCTAGCACTCTGTTTTACACGCTCAATTTATCACGACCTT